TAATGATTCTGCTTTACTCTTAGAAATTCCAGAGTCCTTTAGGTCACTTTTGAGATTTTGGGTGATTCAGAGACGGACTTTGGAAAATAATTCTGGTTGTTTGAAGCTGATGGTTCAGGCTCTAAGGTTTCATTGTCTTCCTCATCATTTGACTCAATTTAATCCGATTCCGTTTCTTCTGGGATTGTTGTCTTCCTTATATGGGACACGACGCAAACTAATGGAATGTGTGAACATAGCACTGTTCATTTCTTTTTCTTCGACAGTCCATTAGAAATTAGAGGAACTATGCAGAAGCAAGCAATCATTGGTAAGATGGCTCTCTCCAAAACATTGACAATGCAAAAGGTATAGATTTCTTATTCCTCGTTTGCCCTTGGCTAAGATTTATTACACTGGTATTAAATTATATGTTTAGTGCCCACTTCTTGTCTCGGTCTCTAGCTTTCCATCCAAAATATATTTGGTAAGATTTTCTCCCAAAATGTGTTATATTTTGCTTTTGAAATGCAAAAGTCACTTTGCTACATACCTGTCATAAGTTATTGCCTTTGTTCACACATTCAAAGCAAGTTTCACAGGACAGTTAAATATGTGAAAAGCTGAGTGGATAGGAGAATAATAATTGATTAGGAGAATAACTGTATAGAAATAGGTTATTAGAAGAAGAAAAAGAATTAATTAGGAGAATAAGTATATATAAATAGGTTATTAGGAGAATAATAATTAATTAGGAGAATAATTATATAGAAATAGGTTATTACGAGAATAATAATTATTTAGGAGAATAATCATATATAAATAGGTTATTGGGAGAATAATTATATATAAATAGGTTATTATGAGAATAATAATTATTTAGGAGAATAATCATATATAAATAGGTTATTAGGAGAATAATAATTCATTGGGAGAATAATTATATATAAATAGGTTATTAGGAGAATAATTATATATAAATAGGTTAATAGGAGAATATATAAATAGGTTATTAGGAGAATAATGATTATTTAGGAGAATAATCATATATAAATAGATTATTAGGAGAATAATAATTCATTAGAAGAATAATTATATATAAATAGGTTATTAGGAGAATAATTATATATAAATAGGTTATTACGAGAATAATAATTATTTAGGAGAATAATTATATAAAATAGGTTATTAGGAGAATAATAATTCATTAGTAGAATAATTATATATAAATAGGTTATTAGGAGAATAATAATTCATTAGGAGAATAATTATATACAAATAGGTTATTAGGAGAATAATTATATATAAATAGGTTATTAGGAGAATAATAATTATTTAGGAGAATAATCATATATAAATAGGTTAGTAGGAAAATAATAATTCATTAGGAGAATAATTATATATAAATAGGTTATTAGGAGAATAATAATTATTTAGGAGAATAATTATATATAAATAGGTTATTAGGAGAATAATAATCTGACAAAGAAAACAATTTTTATGAAATATTTGTTGGGATCCTTCTTCTCCGGTTGTAGTTGCTAACTGAATGTCGGGATTCCAAATATTTAACAACAACAACAACAACACATCTGTATCTGTCTATATTCATGAGATGAGGTATTATGTACACTATTTACATTATTCAGACTATTTTCATCGTTTTCGTCGTCATATTTATATTCATTGACGAAAGCCGGAGCGTTCAACGTCCGAAACATTGCAATAAATGGTGATTAAGATTAAGTAATTTGCTTTTCGAAGCTTTTAATACTAATCCAAACGCCCTCAACCACTGTTATTAGAATTTCTTAGATTAAACTTTGTCATTATAATTGTTGCCTTTTATTCAAGTTACTTTTGATAATTCTTTGAAGCAATATTGCTCGGAAAAAATAAAATAATCTCCAGTGAGGTTTTACCTCGTATCACATATCTGTAGTAGATTGACTTACACGAATAAAATCTTCACGTTGTGCTAAGGAAACCAAATTGCAATCATATCATCGTACACTTCCATTTCAGAGTTTGCCGGCAAAATATCATTATTTTACATCCATCAAAAGAAATCCCCTTAACTGGTTTGCGTTTTTATTTTTAAATGATGATTGTGAGGCAGAAGAAATAGTCAGTAATCGAGTATAATCGTTCCTCAGAAAGTGAAGGAGAATTGAGATTTTGCTTATTTCAAAGTTTAATATAGTAAAAAAATGGCTGATTAATCGTAAATCATTGAATGCTGGTGTTGATAAAACAGTGATCGATGTATAATAACACAGCTAAAATTTATACCAAGGGTTCCGCCTACCCGGATTTCACACACAAGGCTTGGGTCAACCCGTCGTATGGTTTTACGGAATCCTCCAACCGATAACTTCAGGAATTCACTTTCCTCACAAATCAACTAATGGTAAGATTCGAACCTGGGTCTCATGGTCAGAAAGCGAATGTTCTAAACTCTCGGCCATATTATCCCTTGGAGTTTCATACTCAACGCATTGGTTGTATTCTCGCTATGTGCCATCTTCAAATTTATGATCCAGGTATGGAATGTACCATCTTCAAATTTATTATCCAGTTATGGAATGTATCATCTTCAAATTTATGATCCAGGTATGGAATGAAACATCTTCAAATTTATGATCCAGGTATGGAATGTACCATCTTCAAATTTATTATCCAGGTATGGAATGTACCATCTTCAAATTTATTATCCAGGTATGGAATGTAACATCTTCAAATTTATTATCCAGGTATGGAATATACCATCTTCAAATTTATGATCCAGGTATGGAATGTACCATCTTCAAATTTATGATCCAGGTATGGAATGTACCATCTTCAAATTTATTATCCAGGTATGGAATGTACCATCTTCAAATTTATGATCCAGGTATGGAATGTACCATCTTCAAATTTATGATCCAGGTATGGAATGAAACATCTTCAAATTTATGATCCAGGTATGGAATGTACCATCTTCAAATTTATTATCCAGGTATGGAATGTAACATCTTCAAATTTATTATCCAGGTATGGAATGTAACATCTTCAAATTTATGATCCAGGTATGGAATGAAACATCTTCAAATTTATGATCCAGGTATGGAATGTACCATCTTCAAATTTATGATCCAGGTATGGAATGAAACATCTTCAAATTTATTATCCAGGTATGGAATGTACCATCTTCAAATTTATTATCCAGGTATGGAATGTACCATCTTCAAATTTATTATCCAGGTATGGAATGTAACATCTTCAAATTTATGATCCAGGTATGGAATGAAACATCTTCAAATTTATGATCCAGGTATGGAATGTACCATCTTCAAATTTATTATCCAGGTATGGAATGAAACATCTTCAAATTTATGATCCAGGTATGGAATGTACCATCTTCAAATTTATGATCCAGGTATGGAATGAAACATCTTCAAATTTATGATCCAGGTATGGAATGTACCATCTTCAAATTTATGATCCAGGTATGGAATGAAACATCTTCAAATTTATGATCCAGGTATGGAATGTACCATCTTCAAATTTATGATCCAGGTATGGAATGAAACATCTTCAAATTTATGATCCAGGTATGGAATGTACCATCTTCAAATAAACTCACATTCTTAGATGTTCTCGTATAATATCTTAACAACAATTTTTTCGACCACAAGAAAAATTAAATAAAAAGCTTAATCGTAGTACCTTGTCTTTCGTTTTTAATGGAACATGCATAAATGAAGGATTGTTGCCTATATACGCATAATATATATATATATATATATATATATATATATATATATATATATATATATATATGTGTGTGTGTGTGTGTGTGTGTGTGTGTGTGTGTGTAAAATATATAGAAAATAGGAAAGAACTCGTTAGGTAAATAATCCAAAGTTCTTTAGTATTTTTGTTATTATTTTTAAAAATAGTGCTCGATACAAAAGTAGAGTCTATATATTATTATTTATTTAATGTAGCGTTGCAATCATATTTTTAAATAAATACTATATATATATATATATATATATATATATATATATATATATATATATATATATATATATATCGCACATTTAATGCTGGTGTTGATAAAACAGTGCTCGATATATGGAATGTACCATCTTCAAAATGTATTATCCAGTTATGGAATGTACCATCTTCAAATTTATTATCCAGGTATGGAATGTAACATCTTCAAATAAAAAAACTACGTCCTTCATAGAAAAAGCACGCGCGTACATCTTTTTTTCTTCTTTTTACTAGTAACAGTTACTATTTGTAACCGTTTCGTAAAGACTACATTTTTGGAAAATAATTTGTGTGTATAGAAAAAGCAAAACTACAGAAATTATTTTCACCCAAGATATTTTTTTTTACATTCTTTGATAGTATTTAGAATCATTTCCCTTTTACTTACTTATTTTCAGCTCTTAGTGTTTTTTGTTTTTGTTATTTTTATTTTATTTTTCCACTAGTGTCCCAATGTTCTTTCGTTCTCTCCAAGCAAAACCGGGGAGAAGTATCGTAACCAAAGTAAACAACTGCATATAAAAAAATTCCGATGGCGAGCAACGGGACAGAGCCGACGAAATTTGTACCCATCTTCGTCACATCAATATGCACAAAATTCGAAAACGTGCGAATAAATCGAATTTCCGTGCGAGAAGAAGAGGCCTCCGGGCACTAATTTCTACGGAGCCTCTCAGAGCCTGGCGTTGTTTACCAGCAAAAATGCCTTAACGCCGTTATTAATGGAAAACTCAGACGTGCAAAAAGAAATTAATCTAAATATCTTCGTGACTTTTTGACGAAATATTACGAAGTATTAAAACACATAACAACACAGTGTAGTAAAATGAAAAACACCTTGGCTTTGTGAAATACAGGCACACATACACACACATACATATATACATACACCTATTCACACGCATACGCGCATACATAAACACACATACATAAACGCACATATATACATGCAAGCCAAAAGATTTCTCTCCCGCTTACAGCTACATCACGTAGAAACCCCAGTTTTCATATGATTATCGAAGTTAAGCAACGTTGAGCTTAGCCAGTATTTAAATGGGTGACCGCTTGGCAATACCAGGTGCTGTAAGGTTGGTTGAGCGGGTGGTGTAATCGTTAACTAGTCAGAATAGAAAATCGGAGTGCCGAGTTCTAATTCCAGTCTGGTTACCTTATATTCATATTTGTGGGTAACGTATGAATCCAATTCTTCGCTCGCCACCTCCATTTATGGTTAATTAGTACAAGTACAACTTCTATTCCTAAATTATTATTTCTGAAAATATTCTTGCAATCCATGAATATTTTCCGTCTTTGATCAGCCGTAGAAAAAATGAATTAAATTCCATCTATTTCGTTCTCTTTCTGTCTAATTATTGCAGTCTATCCACAGCTATATCAGAAGAATATTAATCTCGGTCGACGTTAATATTTTTTTGTGGAAATAACTCTGAAAGGAAGAAGGAGAATCTCAATGCCATTAGCCAGAGCGTGGTTATTTATTTAAATTTACGAATGAGTCGAATCGAAAACAAAAGACTTCTACTGCAAGATAGCTCTAAAGAGAATGAAACAGGAAGATAGAAAGAGACAGACGAAACTGATATAGATATGACCAAATATATATATATATATATATATATATATATATATATATATATATATATAACTGATATAGATATGAATAAATTGAGATAGAGAGATAGAATTGAGATAGATAGATAAATAGATAGATAGATGAAAGAGACAGACGAAACTGATATAGATATGACCAAATATATATATATATATATATATATATATATATATATATATATATATATATATAACTGATATAGATATGAATAAATTGAGATAGAGAGATAGATAGATATGAACAGCCTGAGACAGATAGATAGATAAATAGATAGATAGATAGAAAGAGACAGACGAAACTGATATAGATATGATAAATTTATATATATATATATATATATAGATAGATAGAGAGAGAGAGAGAGAGAGAGAGAGACAGGCGAAACTGATATAGATATGATCAAATTGATACACACACACACATATATATATATATATAATATATATATATATATATATATATATATCAAACTGATATAGATTTGAACAAATTGAGATAGATGGATAGATAGATATGAACAGCCTGAGATAGATAGATAGATATGAACGAATTCAGATAGATAGATGAAAACTTATATAGATATGAGCAAACAGTTATATATATATATATATATATATATATTTATATATATATATATATATATATATATATATATATATATATATATATATATATATGAAACTGATATAGATATGAACAATTTGAAATAGATAGGAAAAGAACATGAATAGATAGATAGATAGATGAAACTAATATAGATATCAGCAAACAGTATATATATATATATATATATATATATATATATATATATATATATATATGAAATTGATATAGATATGAAAAATTTGACATAGATAGATAGATATGAACAGCCTGAGATAGATAGATAGATAAATATATGAAATTGATATAGATATGAGCAAATTGCTTGTAAAAATTTTAATCTATACGCTGGATTTAATAATTAGTAAGTTTCATGCCTTCTTTGGTGTAATTAACTCCTGCTAAGCTAGGAGGCTGAAACTATTTAATCCAATGGTACATGGTGTCCACTTGTTTAGAGAGTTGGGATTACCGAAAATTTAAAATCCATCAGCCATAAAATTATAATTAGCTAGCATGGTAGAGGAGGCAAAAATTGATAAAATTTTAAGGAAACTTTATGCCTTTTATATGCCGTGTCCCTTCAGAACGTAGGCGATTATGGCTCTCCACTTCTCCCTGTCCCTTATAGTTCTCAACAGGTTTTGTCCTTTTGCAACTTCTGCCAGACCCTGTTCTGTCATCCACTTGCTTAAGCCCGCTATGTATGTCACGTGTTGCTTTCCCTTGTCTCTCTTTCCCGCTCTACACCCTATGAGTATAGGGGTTATTATTATTATTATTATTATTATTATTATTATTATTATTATTATTATCTCTTCGTTTGGTTTCAAGTGTATACCCATTTCTTTCCGGGTCCCAACCAGAGACCTAAGTTCAGAGATGACATCATGACATTTTCCACGGAGGAGTTTTTGAAGAAAAAATACCACCACATATTTTAAATAGATAAAGCCCTTCGTAAGTTGTGGGCTGTATTTGTGAGAACAATTTTTTGGCATTTTTTTAAGGCTTGGACGACCAGGAATCCCTTCAATGATTCTTTTCAATCAATTCAAGGGCTCCAACAACAACTGAAATTTTTAATGCCCTCATGTGCCACATTTGAGATTTCAATTTCAAGAACCTTGTATTTTCATAATTCTTTGACGATCTTCAAAGATACATTAAACTTTTCATTGACAGTCATATCAATAAAAAAGCACATTTTGTTTTTGTGGTCTCTGATCACGAGATCTAGACGATTAGCTTTGATTGTTCTATATGTGTTTATTGCAAAAATCCCATAAAATTGTTACAGGTCCTATCTCATAGCCGGGTCTGATTGGAGGTCATACCAATTTCTTATATTTCTTTTCTGTAAAAGTTACAGATTTTCCAGTGCAAATATTGGCCCACTCTATCATGATGGGTTTTATATAAAATATATGATGAAAAAAACATTAAGGCAAGAAAGTCCTCTGACCTAAATTTAGTTACTAAATTACTTTTGAAAACGGATTGAAATCTTCATTCTTTAGGCGATTCATCAAAATCCAGAAGGTACCACTACACCTTTGGCTCATAGTATATCTTGAAATTATATCGTTTAAATCATAATATATGTCTTCATTAAAACAGACTAATAATAATTAATATTTCTATTAAAATAATTGATATCTTCTTTAAGACTAATAACAATTAATATCTACATTAAAAATAATTGATATCTTCTTTAAGACCAATAATGATTAATATCTTCATTAAAAATGAATTAATAATAATTAATAACTTCATTTAAAATAGTTAATATCTTCTTTAAGACTAATAATAATTAATATCTTCATTAAAAATAGACTAATAATAATTAATAACTTAATTGAAAATAAATAATATCTACTTCAAGACAAATAATAATTAATATCTTCATTAAAATATTTAATATTTTTAAGACTAACAATAATTAATATTCGTCATAAAAAAATAGACGAATAATAATTAATAACTTCATTAAAAATAATAATTATCTACTTTACGACTAATAATAATTAATGGGTTTATTAAAATAATTAATATCTTCTTTATGACTAATAATTATTAATGTCTTCTTTAAGACTAATAATAATTAATATCTTCATTAAAAAATAGACTATATGTTTTCATTAAAATAATTAACTTTGTTTTAATTAATCTCTTCAAAAATAATTAAAACCTACTTTAAGTCTAATAATAATTAATCTCTTCATTAAAAATAGACTAATAATAATTAACAATTTCATTAAAAATAATTAATATGTTCTTGAAGACTAATAATAATTAATATTTTTCATTAAAATAATTAATGTCTTCGTTAAAACTAATAATAATTAATAATTTCATTAAGAATAATTAATATCTTCTCTAAGACTAATAATAACTAATATCGTCATTAAAAATAGTCTCATAATAATTAATAACTTCATTAGAAATAATTGATATCTTCCTTGGGACTAATAATAATTAATATCTTCATTAAAAATAGGATAATAATAATTAATATCTTCATTAAAATAATTAATGTCTTCCTTAAGACTAATAATAATTAATATCGTCATTAAAAATAGTCTAATAATACGCATTATCTTCATTAAAATCAATTCATATCTTATTTAAGACTACTAATAATATCTTCATTAAAAATACACTAATAATAAATATCTTCTTTAAAAATAATTAATATCTTCTTTAAATCTAATAATAATTAATATCTTCATTATGAATAGGCTAAAATAATTAATAATTTCATTAAAAAATAATAACTAACGTCTTTAAGTCTTAAAATAATTACTATCTTAATTAAAATTAGACTAATAATAATTAATATCTTCATTAAAATTACACTAATAATAATTAGTAAGTTCATTAAAAATTATTAATATTTTCTTTTTAAGACTAATAATAATTAATAACTACATTGAAAATAATTAATATCTTCTATAATAAGAATAATAATTAATATCTTCATTAAAAACAGACTAATAACAATTAATATCTTCATTAAAAAATTTTAATATCTTCTTTAAGGCTAATAATAATCAATATCTCCATTATAAATAAACTAATAATAATTAATAACTTCAATAAAAATAATATCTTCTTTAAGTCTAATAATAATTAATATCTTCATTAAAATTGACTAATAATAATTAATAACTTTATTAAAATTGTTAATATCTTCTTTAAGACTAATAATAATTAATATATTCATTAAAAATAATTAATATCATCTTTATGATTAATAACAATTAATATCTTAAATAAAATTAGACTAATAATAATTAATATCTTCATTAAAAAGACTAATAATAGCTTGTCTTGTGAATGCCATTTTATATCACCCAATGAGATTTGACATTTTTATTTCGAACTAAATCAAAAAGCCATCGTCCAGTGTAATATTTAATTACCACATATTATCTCATACCTGGTCTGTCTTAAAAATAATGGCACTGAGTGTGCTGTATAAACTCTGGGCGAAAGTGGGATAAACGGATTGTGATATCGTCTAAGATGATGTCTTGAGAGCGTATAATTATAATCTTAGCTTCTTCAACCATTGCATTTTTGCAGATGGCAAGAAAAATTATGGCTGATGCTCACAACGTCCTGAGCGTCTGTTAGTTCCTGACTGATGAGAACATCGCCGTACTGGAAAAATCTCCCTATTTACCTGATCTGTGTGATTTTCTTCTTTTCCCCAAGGTCAATGGTACCGTCAAGAGGACCCGTTTTGAAGGCGTGGTGTATATCACGAAGGCCGTAACGACGAATTCTACCAGCAGTGGATAGAAAAATGCATTAGACTCGAGTGGGATTACTTTTCAGACAGACCTCATACTAATATATGGTGGGAATGGATATTGTCATAAGGTAAAGTCAACTACGAGTATAGTAACAAAGTTATTAAATGTTTGTAACAGAAAAGTGTTATAAAAATACTAAATTAAAAAATTACAATTAAAAAATCATTTTTAAAAAATCACATAAGTTACCTCCCTTGCGTAGCGGTGAAAAATATTTTGAATTTACGATGTTAACGTATAACGTATCAAATCAATAGATATGCAACTCGTGAAGATGGTCTCAGATGAGATTGAAAGTACTTGGGAAAATAAAAATTATTTGAAAGAAAATTTTGGAAATTTTCTCAATCAATTTTCTCCAGCCACCAAGAAAATAATTCGTGGTCTTGAAAGGATTAAAACTAAAATAAATAGACATAATACGTCTTATTTAACCAAACAAATGTACCTGCCCACAACATCCTGGCATCCGGCAATTACAGACCGAGACAAAAATATCGCCGTACTCGAACAACCTCCCCATTAAACTGTTCTTGCTCTGCGTGACTTTCTTCTTTTCCCCAAAGTTCAAGGGGTTCATCAAGGGAACCCGTTTTGAAGATGTGGAGGCCATCAAGAAGGCCATAACGACGGAGCTAAGGGTCATCCAAGAAGAATCTTTCCAGAAGTGCATAGAAGCGTGGCAGAGAAAGTTGGAAAAGTGCATTAGACGCGATAAGAATTGCCATTTAGTTTGTTGTTTGAAATTGAAATTCTTTGTGACATCTGTTTCTTTTCACATCATACAAACTTCATATGTTGAGATTATAATATTAATCATAATGGTTTTACCATAATCCTGCGTTTTTGTTTTTTCTGTGCATTTACAGAGGATTAAAGTTGAATAAGAATCCAATGGACTGATAAATACACCCGACAAATTTGGTAAATTTCTACTCCGACTATTTATCATCAGAAAATAACATTGTTTTATCAATAAAGAAGAAATTGTTCAAATTGTTTATTTTTGTATATTGATGGCATTGTCTTGATATCTGAAGCAATTTTTTCAAAGATTAATCGTTATATCCAACATGATATAAACCAATTCGGCCACGAAGGGTCTCATCGATCAAGCAAAGCCAAACAGAAATTTCTATCAATAATATTAATAATTCAATAATTAAACAAAGTTAGAGTCAGTTAAATATTCACCTGATCTTACTCTTTCCCCCAAGATCAAGGACACCATCAAGGGGACCCGTTTTGAAGGCGTGGAGGCTATCAAGAAGACGGAAGTGAGGGGAATCCAAGATGAATCCTTCCAGCAGTGCATAGAAGCATGGCAGAGAAGGATGGAAAAGTGCATTAGACTCGAGGGAGGGTTACTTTGAAGAAGAAACCATGTAGTTTGTTTTTTGGAATTGAAATAAATTGTTTGTGACACAAGTCCCCTTTTTTCTTTTCAGACACACCTCATATTATACCTAACGCTTTTATTGGCACATGGCCAAGTGTTTAGAAAGTTCACTTTCTAAAATGAGACCCAGGTTTGAATCTCATCATGGTCAATTTATCAGGGAAAGGAAATTCCTTATGTTATCAACCTGGGAGAGGCAATCCCAGCATGTGTAGCACCTTTAACAAGTGCTTGAAAATCATACAACTGATTGACACAAGGGAACTATCTGGGAGCTGTTGATGAATATGCTAGCACAAAGTTACAAGTCATCGTGATTGAGGGTTTGAGCATGCTGGCTTTGTTCAACTTCTAATAACATATTATGTGTTCTCTCCCAGAAACTCTGACTAAGGTCCGCTCTGCATAGTTGCAGTGTGAACTACAGGTGGGCTCTGTGGGTTTTGAACAAAGACAAATGTGCCTGAACTGCGATCTGCAATGGGGGTTAACTAACTGAAAATAGGACTGTTTTTTTCTTTGATGTGAGAGGCATTGTGTCCACAATGAGTTCTTAACCGAGGCCAGACAATCAGTCGGCAAGTCTGCAAAGAGGTTTCCCCCTTCAGAGTAATCCTCCCACCAACGATTCTAATGCACTTTTCCATTCTTCCCTGCCACGCTCCTATGCACTGCTGGAAGGATTCATCTTGGATGCCCCTCAGCTCCCTTTGATTGATCTCCTTGAACTTAGGAAAAGAAAAATATCACAGAGAGCAAGATCAGTTGAATAGGAAGGTTGTTCCTGTACTTCTTTGCAGACTTACTGACTGATTGTCTGACCTCGGTTAAGAACTCATTGTGGACACAATGCCTCTAACATCAAAGAGATCCTGTTTCAGTCAGTGCACAGGAAGAGACAAGAGTTGTGGCAGGACAAATTGTGGCTGTGTTAACACGACAATGCACCTGAGCATCTGTCAGTTTTTGGTTGAGACGTACAGGAACAACCTTCCTATTCAACTGATCTTGCTCTCTGTGATGTTTTTCTTTTCCCAAACTCAAAGGGATCCATCAAGGGAAGCTGAAGCGCATCCAAGATGAATCCTTCCAGCAGTGCATAGGAGCATGACAGGGAAGGATGGATAAGTGTATTAGACTCGAGAGAGGGTTACTTTGAAGAGGAAACTATGTAGTTTGTTGTTTAGAAATAAAATAATTTGTTTGTGATACCATTCCTCTTTACTTTACAGATAGTCCCCTTATATCTTGAATAAATTATTGCTTTTTTTTCATTTTACATTTTAACAAGCATTCTTTGTTAACTCCGTCGATTTTCTGTCATTGATTTTCTTAAACTTTCTACTGTTTCAATTTTATCATTCCTTGCTCTCTTTTTGATGGCTTCCCAGGATTATTCTTTGGTTATTGTTTTCCATTCCAATATACTTCTCTTGCACTCTTTTAAAGATTCAGGAATTTTCTATTGGATTATCGGAAAAGGCTTTGCAACTATTTACCAAGACGTACATCTTTCCGAATATGAGGGAACAGTGTCTTGTATGAATTTACTCCTTAAGTTAAATAGTCATGGTAATGATAATATTAGCCGTGTCCCTACAAGGAAATATTTGGTATTCACTGACCGAGCAGCTAATGCTGCTTTATGTTGAAATTTATACATTCTTAAAACAATTTGTCAGTAAAATAGGTTTCTAGGGTAGAGTAGCTGTTATCGCTCTTTCCAGTAATTATGGTGGGGGGTTCCTTTCTAACCTTTTGTTTAAAGTCGAGTGGAATATCACCATCTTGATTGTGTCATTATTTTCTCTTTCTTGCATCCATTTTAGCTGCTGAAAATCCTTAAATAATGTTTAATTCTGTTATTTGGCACTGGAACTGTTATCACATTTCCAATTTGAAGTAGCGTGGAATGTCAACATCTTCATCTTGTTATTATTTACTCTTCGGCTTATATTTGCTATCTATTTTACTTGTTGCTGCTGTTAAAAGTCCTCAAGTGATGTGGTTTCTTTTATTTAGTTCTGTTATTTCTTCGTGAATATGTAACGCCATCGATGAATGATGATTTTTGCGTAGAGACTCAATCTTCTCTTGCTCAAAGATTTTTTAACCACTGATCTTAGAAAGCGATTGTATACAACTGACAGTTTAAATATTTCTGTACAGGTTTGGCCCCACTTATATGAAAGTCTTGATCTAACGAGGCCAATTAAAAATATGACAGGAGTTTTCAAATTGATGTTTTAGTTTCGTATCAAGGTGTTCGGCCAAACAACTTCTGCCGAAGCACGCTCTACGTCCATTTTTTTCCTACCATAATAAATTTCTTATAACTGATTCTACGCCGATAGATTTGAAGCGTTTTGTATTTACTAATTCTATATCCTCGTGTTTTATGATAGATTCAGTTTATATGCCGTCACTACATTCATTCAAATTCCAGATCACCGTCTCTCTATGGAAAGGTTTGTCTTGTTTGTTTCTTCATTTCGCGGCACATCAACTCCTTATGGATCATTTAATACCGAAATTTCTTGGAAGCATTAGCAATTTATATCACAAAAATGTATAGCTGGTAAAATTTTATTTTTTGCACAAATGTGTTTCTGGTAATTCTTTTTCTATGAAAATGTATTTTTATACTTTCATAGTGTTTTTCCCCAGGTTGAGAATTTAACTATTTGCCCATAGCTGGGACCCTAACAGGTGCTACCACCCGGGGTCAAGGTGGACGTGGGAACAACAGCAATTAAGACATGGTTCCACGCTCCGGAAAACTTCCCAATCAGAGGCTTTGCTGCCGGATATAATTTACCGTCATGCCCAGGATAGATTTATCTTGAATCCTATTTCTTGGAACATACGGTGAAAGATGTTGATTTTCTGTTCAAGGTAATTATTACCCCAAATATGAATACCTATGTCATCAAAGCTTCTTGTAATTTGTACCAATCGGTTACGGTACTAGCTATGGGTAAATAGTTGAACGCACCCCCAAACTGGGGTCAAAACACTATGAAAGAGTAAAAATTGGTTTTAATTCAGCAATACTTTTTGGGAAAAATTATTGCTAGCAATGGATTTTTGAAGGAAAAAATTCTTACCAGCAATACGTTTTTGAATAAAAAAGTATTGCCAGCAATAATTTTTTGGAAAAAATATTATCAGCAATGAAAATCTTGTCGGCATTAAAACCCATTGAGGTGTTGATATGCCGTAAAACAAAACATACCAACCGAAACTAAACAAAAAAAAAAGATAATGTTGAGAAATTAATCCAGTACCAATCAATCTGGTGAGTGACTGTGTGGTTTGAACGTTAACTATAAGACCCAGGTTCGTATCTCACCATGTCCGATCACGTCTTGGTGTTTTCAGTATGGGTTCGGAATTGGATGAGTTTGATTAAATGGAACAGTTCAAAATTCCAATTCCTGAAGATGTCCGGAACGTACAACGGTCGAAACGTTGTTAATATTGCAATGAAGATGAGGTTAACAGTCCGAATAATGTAGATGATGCATGTTCCGTATACCATTTTTTTAGTCAAGTACAACTTCACTATACGATTTTTTTTTAGTCAAGTACTTTCTTCTTTGCTCTCATGATTCCGAAACACTGTGACGACCGAAGCTTTTCTTGAGCAACTTGTTTTATTTAACATCAATTAACTTTGTCTGAAAATGTTCTTTGATGATATAATGTTAACAATGAAATAAAGGCCTGTATAGTAGCAGTTCTCGAGAACGAAAAATCTGAGTGAAACTTCCTCCTTACAAATGGAAAACGGAGGAAATATGTCCCAATCAACTCTGAGAATGAATTCTTCCTCTCCGATTCCCTGTAAACTCATCATTGCTAAATCAAAATTATAAGAACTTATTTTCCATACAGTACTTCCTCAATAATCCGTATGTGAATTTTCTGAATTTCGATTAACCGGAATTGATATAGAAAGAAAAATTGAAATCATCCGAACAGATAAAAATACTGATTGAATGAATTCTTGTTAATTTCCTTTTTGTTTTCACAGAAAAAAAAAACATCCATTTGAAGTATCGCGCTCAAGATTATGTTTTATACGAAACTCACTTGATACATGTGGAACAGGATACAAAAAGATTGTTTTTTGTTTTCTCACCACGTAACAAAGTCTTTTAATGCTTATTGAATGAATAAAAGTTGATTTTAACGGGAAATTCCACTAATAATGCTGTAGTTCCGACCATTATGACGACCAAAGATTTTATTGAGAAATTTGCAGCGTTAAACGATGATATATATTTTATAAATTAAATAAAAGCCTGTATAGTAGCAGTTCTCAAGACAAAAAAAAACCAGTGAAACTTCCTCCTTACAAATGGAAAACGAGGGAAATATGGTTGATTCGACT